ATTGATGCACTACTGATGCATCGGTGCATAAAATGCATTCGATGTTATATTATTACTGGGATGCATCGATTCACTACTTATGCATCGATGCACTTCTTGTGCATCGATACACCTTCAAACGATTTATGGGTTTTAACCTTGATGCATCGATGCACTATGAATGTGCATCGATGCACTCTGCCCAGAACCTCTTTTTGAACCCGAAAATTCACTCATTTTGGATTAAATCATTCATGTTTCATCCCCTTTTTCCTTCTTAACTCTAGTACACATACTTAAACCAATATATACTCATTTATTTCATCTTAAACCTTAATATTCTCTCATCTTTATTAACTTCAAGAATCATACCAGATTTTTAACATGTTTTAAATCTAATTCTAACACTCCATATTCCTTAATTAGATTGATGACAAGTCAAATTCCTACTCAAAATTCACTTACTAACTCTTTTCCAGAATTTCCTTTAAAAACTCATTTTCTGTAATCTTTCATAACTTCTTTATATTTTGATTTTAGAACAACTTAAGCTTTCCATAAGCTTAAGTATTACCTAATGATCAAAACCCACTTTTAAAATTAACAAATAATCAGCTAACAAGGAATCTTACCTTTGCAAGCTTGGCTCTTCTCTCTCTTGTACATGAAGAAGAAGATGAAGAGAATATCTCTTCATCCTTATCCCCTCTAACATATATATCCTTATCATATCTATTTTTAATTCATTTATTAGTCAAATGACCATTTTGCCCTCTACTTCATCTGATAATTACTAACAACTTTTAGGATTTATTTCCAGATAAATCATTTAACTAATCCATTCTTCTACTTAAATCACCAAATTTCTGAAACTTTACCATTTAGTCACTAACCCATAGTTTAGGATGTTACACTTTTCTTTTTCCTTCTCTTTCTCCTAACATACTTAAAATATCTTTAAAATGAATATTAAATTTATTTACTGTTAAAAGACCTCTTTACCCTTCCATTCTTTCATCTTTGCTAATAAGTCCTAAACACAAATTTCCAAAATTAGTCCTTAAACTTTTCTACTTATTCCAAATAAACCACTAAATTTTAATTTCTTACATTTTAGTTATTGACCAGATGTTTGGGGTATTACATTGGATGTGGGTAAGCTCAAATTTTTCTTAGATTTCTATATTGACTTTTCTTGAGAATTTGTACGTTTTGAGAACATCTGCTTATTTGTTCAACATAAGAAGAAAATTATACAGAGCTTTGCAAAATATGATCAAAATCATAACTAATTAAGATTTGGTAAAAAAATGGTAAGGCTAAACTATCTATTTGGGCACTCACTATTATTTAGTTTTTGTTTTAATCAGCCAACTATTATTTTGTTAAAAATCATATCGAACGTTATGTCTTGATTTTGTTTTAGTCACAACATCATAGATACACATACATTCTTGAATTCTTTGCGTATAATTGTCTTTTCTTGAATTAATGCAATATAAATTCTTTATCTCTGCACATTAGCAAATTGTATATAGATTTCCCTTTCACATTCTAATGGTAAAAGTACTCTCACCTGAATTGAAGTTGAATAGAAAATCCGCTTGACTTGGAATGTATTTCAAAAACATACGAGTGTCACATTTAATATGATATTAAAAGTGTTTTTCTTATTTGTTATGTCATCTTTATCAACGTTTGTTTTGCAAAGGTTTTAATTTTGACACAAAGGTACTTCCAGGAAAAACCATTCTTATCAGGGATGGTTGAAAACACCAATGTAACTGTTAATATTTCATGTTTTGCGTTGATTAAGCCGAGCTTTGATGAGACCAACCAGCATTGTTTTCTTGGTAAGGATATTCATGATAGATATGGTATTAATTGCCTGGCCTCAGTTTGATAATAAGCATGTGCAATGAATTCCTTTTCTTGAAATTTCAGATGTCTTGCCTATTATAATAGAGAAGACTCCATTTCCGGTGAGGGAAAAATGCAGCTTAAACACTTCACATGTAAGTTCATGTCAGAACATGTGCTGAGTACTTCAAATTCATTCCGAAAGAAATTTATCAGAAATTTCTAAGAGGCTCAAAAAAGTTAACTGTGGTGCACATGTCAGAACACGTGTTGAGTACGTCAAATCCCTTTGTGGAGGGTCAGGATGTCTATAGTTTTTCTGTGTTTCCGGACGAAGGAAACACGAATCCAAAATGTACACTGCAGTTAACTTTTTTGAGCCACTTAGACATTCCATTTCCGTCTAAAAACCAGATCCATTTGGATGCTCAGTTGAGTTGTCACAACTACATCGATTTGAAAGTGGATATGAAGATGCTTATTCATCTTCGGTTCTGGACATAAACATCGAGAAAGAGGTTCCTGACATACTTGCATCCAGTGATGAAACTGTTGGAACCTCAAAAGGTGAAGGTGTACTAACGGTAAGTTTGATATTTCTATCTTTATAGCTTGAGTTTTAAAGCAAACTTCTCCTTTTTAGAAGGCATATTCAGAGAAGAACAGATCATACATGTGGTATGGAATATATAAATTATTAGTCATCAAAGCACTGATGATGGATCTCAATGAAACAGCATTTGCAGACGGTGCTGCAGAGACAATCAAGCTTCAATATATGTTAGAGTTCCCGCAGCTTTGAACTGTTAATGTGTTGATTTGCAGGTCTTCAAGCATATTCTAATACCTATTTTGAACAACAGTGTCCGAACTCCCTATCTCCCTCTTAATCGCTGGAATCATTTCCCATTTCCTTGATGTGGTCCGTGATTGCTTTATTTTGCACAAGAGTTGCCAGTTTCTTTTACACAAGAAACGAAAGAACATCCAAAAGCATGGAATATCATGTTAACCAAGCTGTGTTATAAAACATTAATGTTTCTAATGTTTCATGCATATCATTTAATGTGGTGGTTTGACATTTGAACTTTCACTTTTCAATGAGAATTACAGTAACCGGCACAAAACAGACGTCCCCATGGGGATCTGTTCACATTTATTGCTATTAGAGTTTGATTTGACATAAGTAATACCAGTAAACTGACCATTGAGAACAAATGAACCAAATGCCTATAATGAACCAAAAAAAAAAACTTAATCAAGCCTAATTGATATATTTTGAGCAATGACATTGATTCTTTCTTTGGTTCAGGTCAAGTTTGGGGACATTGATATTGATTTATCTGACATTGAGAGTTAAGACAATCTATTGATAGGTTCAATCTACGTTACGCAGGTTTGGATGTGGGTAAGTTCAGATTTTTCTTAGATTTTCATGTTGAGTCTTTTCTTGACAACTTGTACGTTTGAGAACAGCTGCTTAATGTTTAGCTTTTAAATGTCAATATTTGTGTCCACTGTAGATATTACCAGTGATTCAGTAATTCTTTCACAGTTCTGGAAATTGAAAAAAATTGGTTTAAATTGTGCCTAGAACTGGATACACGGTAGTTTTGAAGGGAATCGACGTGTTGAACAAATACGAAAAAGAAAAATAAGATTTGGTCAAAATAAGAAGAATATATAGAGTTAGGGGTGTAAATGAATTGAGTTTGAACAAAGAAAGTTATATTTGTATTTGTTTGATTGTTTAGAAGTTGTTTATATTTGATTCATGATTGTTTGTTTTCGAAGATGTTTGTGTTCATTTGTTCATAATTTACTGGTGCATGAAAATAGGTTGCTGCCGAACTGGCATTTGGTGGCTTCCAGTCGAGCCATGCAGCTGCGTATAATCGGGCAAATCCTATAATATCGATGACTGATATTACCCCTGCAACTGGTGACCTCTCTGACCGCTGGATAAGACCTCCACCAGGCTTTGTAAAGCTGAATGTGGGTGGTACTTGTCCTTTGGATAATGGTGTTTTAGCTGTGGGAGCTATTCTGCGTGATGCTGATGGCTGTGTTGGCTGGCAGGGCCAGCTGTATTGAAGGTTCACGTAACGCCAGCTTAGTTGAAGCACATGCCACTCTATATGGTCTTCGACGCAACAGAGATGGTATACACTCAAGTAATTATGCGGCAAATGTGGTTGACCAAATAATGAATCATCAATCAGATATGTCAGTTCTACGATTTACATTATCTGAAGCACGCCTGGTTTTAGACTTAAAACACTTCGTATAGCATCCCCTCAATTAGACGTTCGGCTAATGTTGCTGCTCACATTCTGGCTAATCTTGCGTCAATCTCCTCCTCTACAGTGCGGTTTCAATATGATTGTCCTTTATGTTTCAATGATGTAAATGACGCTATCAATGGTGAATGGATTTGGGTACTCTTTTCTTCTTTCTACGTTTAGAAGGGGATTTTAAGGAGGTCCTTTTTAATTTCAAAAAAAAATGTTTGGCAACCAATAATTTCCTTTTATCTTTTTATTTGCAAGTCAAAGAAAATGGTAAAACTATGCCACTTGTCCTCAAGATCTTTAGGTTTCACAATTTAAACTTCAAAATTTACCTTATATTTAATTTAGTTTCATATCTTCACTAATGATTAAAATATAAAAAAATAAAGAAAAAGAGGGGCAAGTACATGAACTTATAAAAAAGTTAATAAATAAACTTTAAGATAAACGGATTTATAAATGAGTCGATATATAAATTTATTCGTGAACATATATGAATCAAATATGCATATATTCATTTTGTTTTATTAGTTAAAAAACATAAAATTTTTATTTATACTCATTTATTTAATTTGATAAATAAATATAAACGAATTTTTATGAAAAAAATCATAAATAGTTTACCAACAATTCATCAGTGTTTTCATTTACACCCATATACAAAGAGCTTAGCAAAATATGATCAAAGCCATAACCAATGAAGATTTGGTCAGAAAATTAATTGAGAGGCATATGTAACAAGGGGTGTAGGGTGGGCTTAACCTCTGTTAAAGGTTCAAACAGGCAAGCCCACACAGATTCTAGAAAGTCCCAAACAAGAGGAAATGTCGATCATGGACATTTCTAGTGCATAAAAACTTTGCTCTTCCCAGATGTTTCTTCCTAGAAATCACTACAATTCCAGACTCTCCCTTTGCTCCCAATTAACCCACCGGAACCATGTCAATTGTCCCAACCAACGGCCAACAGGGCAGAGTGAGTGATCCATTCCCTCTAGACTTATGGGATCCATTCAACGAATTCGATGTTTTAAACCCATTCTCCCATGGCTTCCCTTTCCCTTCGTTTCTTTCTGGCGGTGGTTTCTCCGAAATTTTCCCATCCGTTGGGACTCAACTCAGCTGTATAGAAACCCCAAGGTCCCATGTCTACAAAGCCTACCTTCCGGGGGTAAGCAGAGACGAAGTCATAGTTTTCATTGACGATGATAGGATGCTCCAGATAAGCACCGAGAATGGTAACTTCATGAGCAGGGTCAAGCTGCCTGAGAGTGCCAGGACGGATGAGATTCAGGGTTTTATGGACAACGGGATGCTCGTCGTGACCATCGGAAAGGATGTTGCACAGAGTCCAAATGTCAGGGTCGTCGAAATCACTGAATGATGTTTTTACTCTCTTGTTTGTTGTGTTGTTGCTCTGTTGTGTGTGTCGGAAGCTGTTTACCTGGTTTCTTGTACTATAACTGTGTTTCGGTAGCAATAAAAGTGCTTTTACTTTGTGGGTGGTTTATGTTTCGTAATTTAGGAACATAGTTTAGGCAGAGACACATTCAAAGGATTCGGATGTAAGGAGATGCACTGCAGTAAGAAGACAAGGTTACGGTTTTAAGGAAGTAATCGGCTATGAATGCCAAAACCCACCGCTTTTCATCTCCTAGAACTAGAACTACACATGAATGCCAAAATCCCACATTTGGTACTTAATCTTGCCTTAATAGTCTGACCCAATAGTTGGAACTGATGTATCTCTGTATATTAATTTGGGTTAAATTTAAAATTTTAAGGATTTAAGGTACGCAATGATATTTTCTTAACCAGAGGATTAATGGGAATTCTTAAAGTTTTTTGTGGGAAACACTTAAAAATATAAAAGAAATTAAGGTTTAATAAGAATTTTAAAAACTTTTAAAAGAGCTAATTAAGATTTTTTAAATCTTTAAGGGATTAAAAGTAAATTTATCAAAAATTTTGTGGCAAATGTCCCCTTCGCACCCTAAAACCATACTCCCTGAAAAGCCTTTATTCTCTAGCCCAAACCTTGATCTTGAACTTGTTGCAATCAGTCGCTGCCTTTCTTGCATCCTTTGCCAAAAAAAAAAAAATTGAAGTGGAGAAAACCTAGCCTACTCGTGGTCTCTCTGCTGGCATTCTTATTTTGTGTTTTTCTCGAAGCTTTTAAATAAATTAGTTAGGACCTCAAACATTCTAAAAGAATCAATTAGACCCTTATAACAAATTATTATTCATATGTGAATTTCTATGTCAACATCATAGCAGTCATCTACGATTTTCACTAACCAAAGGATCACAACAATTAATTTTCTAAGTTTAAAGGCTTGTACACAACAATTAATTTTCTAAGTTTAAAGGCTTGTAATTGGATATAAAAATTCTTGGACTGAATTGTCTTTTCCTTTTCGAAAATTTAAGCTCCTCGTTAGCCATTAAGCCAAAAATTTATAATTTTTTCAAAGCCTTGAAGAAAATTGACTTAATCTCTTGACAACAATATAATAACAAACAAATACAAATCAAAAAGAAAATTAATATTAATATCCCTAGTGCTCTGGCCACCATTTTAAAATAGTCCTTCCATGGCAGCTGTAAGTGCAAATATTTCATAATTTGCAGCACAGTTGCACCCTTCGTCAATGCCTTGGCACCCACACTGATAAGCCCAGATTGATGTCCATGTCGGAAGCCAAGCCATTTATTATACTTCAGCATCATTTCCTTTTATTGCATTTGCTGGTTTACTTTTGTTTTAGGGCAGTTACTAGCACGACTGCAATTCATGGGTAGTGGGTAGACGAGTCTCCTACAGACTCGGACACCATTAGCTTCATTTCAGTTGTTTCTTTGATGTATAAATTTAGAAAGAAGACATCGGAAAAAGGGAGATCAGAAGTTAATGAATTTGTGGTTCATTCTCACCCAAAAAGAATACTTTCTTGTGGTTGATGTGCTTGTACTGGTTGAGACCTATCATTGGTATCAGATACAGGACCATGACAACAAACAAAGAACGGATCGAGCGTCTAGAGGAAGGGCTTGGAGGAGTTCAAGCAGGAATACATCGCATGGAGGTGGGAATCACCGACAAGATCCAATAACTAGAAGATACTATTGCAAAACTATCTGGAGCATTCTCCGCAAGCAGCGGATCACCTAGCCATAATAATTATCAGAATGAATGAGCCCACTGAACCAACCGAGATACCGACGAAAACATTTGGCCATTTTCTTCCAAGATTGCAAAGTTGGAATTCCCAAGATTTTCTGGAGATGACCCGACAGAATGGCTGAATCGTGTGGACCAGTTCTTCGAGTTTCAAGAGATAGTCGTTGATCAAAAGGTGCTCCTAGCTTCGTTCCACCTTGAAGGTGAGGAAAATCAATGGTGGCAGTGGTTCCGAAAAGCATTCACTGACTGACAAGGGAGCATCTCGTGGGAAGCCTTCGAAGATGAAGTGAGGGTTCGATTTGGACTCCCTGATTATGAAGACTTCGACGAAGTACTATCCCGAGTGAGACAAACGGGAACATTACGAAACTATCAACGGGAATTTGAACGGGTTGGGAATCGAGTTCGTGGATGGACCCAAAAGGCTCTAGTGGGTACGTTCATGGGGGGCTTGAAACCAGAGGTGTCTGATGGAATAAGAATGTTCAAGCCTTAATATGTGAATGAAGCAATTAGCTTGGCAAAAATGAGGGACGATCAGCTTACAAGACAGAGGTGATTCGTATGGCCAGGTGCCTTACAAGCTTCTTTTCCTATAAGTAACACCAGTCCTCCCAAGGGTTCCACACAAGTGGCAATCAAAAGGTTGTCATGGGATGAGATGCAGAAACGTAGAGCTCAAGGATTATGTTTCAACTGCAATGAAAGGTTCACCCCTGGACACAAGTGTCAAGCACCACAGTTAATGATCCTTGAGGGCTGTATATAGGAAGATGAAACACTAGACGAAATGGGAGTGGTAAACATGACAAGGGAAATGTCTAAGATTGAGAAAGACGACAACGGAAAGGAGCCCGAGATTACCCTACATGCACTAACTGGATGGACTGTACCGAGAGCAATGCGAATTAAGGCAATTATTGGAGTGCATAAGGTGGTTGCTTTAATCGATAGTGGATCCACTCATAATTTCATTATTGATCGAGTAGCCGAAACGCTTCATTTGCCCGTGAAGCCCACAACATCGTTTACTGTCCGAGTTACCGATGGGGAAAGATTGTCTTGTAAAGGGAAATATGAGAAGCTCATGGTTAATTTACAAGGTAATGAGTTCCACCTCGACTTCTTTTTTGTGCCGTTAAATGGTTTGGATATGGTGGTAGGCATTCAGTGGTTAGAGATATTGGGTTCAGTAATTTGTGATTGGAAAAAACGAACTATGGACTTCATTTGGGAGCAACAGCCTAAGAAACTCCAGGGGATGAAAATTCCACCAATCCAATACACCACATTGAAAGGCTTCACCAAGGACTTTCTACAATGACAAGCGTTGTTTGCTTTATATTTTCAGCTCGAAGGATAACAGAACAATGAGGAACTCTCATCAGATATGCAGGCATTGCTAGAGGAATATTCAGATGTCTTTGCTGCGCTTACCAGCTTACCACCAGCACGTGAAATTGATCACAAAATACTACTCCAAGACGGAACTAAAGCTATTAATGTGAGGCCACATAGGTATGCATATTTGTAAAAATCTGAGATTGAAAATCAGGTTCAAGACATGCTCAATACAGGGTTGATTCGACCAAGCACCAGCCTATTTTCTTCTCCAATACTGCTTGTGAAGAAAAACGATGGCACATGGCAATTCTGCACAGACTACCGAGCATTAAATGCTACCACCGTAAAGGATCGTTTCCCAATTCCAACAGTAGATGATATGCTTGATGAGTTACACGGAGCTGCTTTTTTTTTACTAAGTTGGATCTCAAGGCAGGATACCACCAAATACGAGTTAGCACCCCTGATATTCCTAGGACTGCTTTCCGCACTCACAATGACCACTATGAGTACTTGGTTATGCCATTTGGGCTATGCAACGCACCATTTACCTTCTAAGTAATAATGAACTCGATTTTTCAACCGTATTTGCGGAAGTTTATCTTGGTGTTTTTTTATGACATTTTAATTTACAGTCCGACATGGGAGCAGCACTTGGAGCATGCCCAACTTACATTCTCCATCATTCGGCAACATCAGTTCTATGTCAAGATTAGCAAATGTGCATTCGACAAAAAAGAGCTAGAGTATTTGGGCCACATAATTACACATCGTGGCATCAAAGTTGATGAAAAGAAAATTGACGCAATGGTTGCTTGGCCAAAACCCTCCAACATTATCGAGCTCTGTGGATTCTTAGGGCTCACCGGATACTACCGCAAGTTTGTTCAAGGGTATGGATTAGTAGCTCAACCATTAACAAACCTCCTCAAAAAATGGAAGTTTCTATGGAATGAAGAAGCGGAATCGACTTTCTTAGCTTTGAAACAAGCCATGACATCCACCCCTACACTAGCCATGTCAAACTTTACCGAACCTTTCTCCATCAAAACAGATGCATCGAGGAACGGAATTGGCGTTGTTCTAACTCAAAAAAATAAACCAATTGCCTATATAAGTCGAGCCTTGGGAATCACTAAGCAAACTTGGTCAATCTATGCAAAGGAAATGCTAGCCATCGTGGAAGCAATACGATTGTGAAGATCATATTTACTTGCCCGCAAATTCTACATCATAACCAATCAACGCAGCCTTAATTTTTTCTTAGATCAGCGTGTTTCAACTCCGGAGCAGCAAAAATTGGTGGCCAAATTATTGGGGTACGATTATGAAATCATCTTCCGACCGGGTCGTGACAACTCTGCAGCAGATGCTTTATCTAGGCGGCAAGAAAGCCCATTATTTGCTGCTCTTCATTTTTCAGATGTGGATATTTGGAAGCAAATCCGTGAGGCCTCTAAATCAGATTTCTATATGCAGTTTTTGGGTAAAAAGGCTAGTGACCCTCCTCGTGACAACTTGAATTGGCGTGATGGATTGCTGCTTTACAAAGGAAATGTTGTGGTACCTGTTGATCATTCCTTAAGGGCCAAATTATTGTATGAAGTTCATGATTCTAAAGTTGGAGGGCACTCGGGGATCCTTCAAACTTATAGAAGATTGCAACAACAATTTTATTGGCCAAAGATGCATAAATCTGTCTGTTCAGGAGTATGTCCAGAAATATGAGGTATGTCAACGCATTAAACCAGAGACCAAGGCACCAACGGGATTATTACAGCCCTTACCAATTCCTGCACAGGTTTGGGAGGACATCATTCTTGACTTCATTGAAGGGCTGCCCAGTTCTCATGGCAAAGACATAATTCTGGTGATCGTCAATAGGCTCAGTAAGTTTGCCCACTTTATTCCCTTAACTCACCCATTTACGGCCAAAGTTGTTGCAGAAAAATTTATTGAGGGAGTTGTCAAACTCCATGGGATGCCACGCTCCATCATCAGTGATCGTGACCCAATCTTCATTAGTAAATTCTGGCAAGAATTCTTCAAACTATCCGGCTCCAAACTCATGCTCAGTTCAGCTTACCATCCCCAAACAGACACCAAACTGAAGTTGTTAATTGTTGTGTTGAACAAAATTTGTGTTGCTTCGTTCACCAATGGCCACACAAATAGAGTAATTATCTCGCTTGGGCAGAGTATTGGTACAATACCACCTACCACGCCTTAACAAAAATGACACCGTATCAAGCTCTTTATGGCCGCCTTCCACCACTTCTCCCCACCTATCCGGAGGGCCTTTCCCCAATTCATGAAGTGGATAAAACGCTCCTGCATCGTGACGAGCTGCTCCACCAACTCAAGACAAATTTAGAGATTTCCATGAACCGAATGAAGAAACAAGCTGACTCCAACCGAAGAGATATCCAATTCAAAGTTGGTAATCGATTTCTATTAAAGCTCCATCCATATCGCTAGCAAATAGTCTTCAAACGGGCTCATCAAAAATTATCCAGCTGCTACTATGGACCCTACCCTATTTTAGAGAAAATCAGAGCAGTAGCATACAGCCTGTAATTGCCACCTACAGCTCGAATTCACCCCGTGTTTCATGTCTCTTTGCTTAAACCATACAATGGCACTCCAGCTGTCACTCCACTTGACTTACCTCCACTTGCAGATGATGGCGTCATAACCCTTGAACCTCAACAAATACTTGATACACGATGGATTAAGCGTAACGACACCTTCATGGAAGAAAGCTTGGTGCATTGAAAGCATCTACTCCACGAAGAAGCCACCTGGGAGTCCACAAATACTCTTTGCCACCAGTTTCCTCATTTGATGCTTGAAGACAAGCATCCTCTTCATGGGGTGGGCAATGATAAGCCCAGAAGATCATGTCAGACCCCGAAGCCCCAACTCACGCTATATAGACTGATGTCCATGTCGGAAGCCAAGCCATTTATTCTACTTCAGCATAATTTCCTTTTATTGCATTTGCTGGTTTACTTTTGTTTTAGGGCAGTTACTAGCACGACTGCAATTCATGGGTAGTGGGTGGATGAGTCTCCTACAGACTCGGACACCATTAGCTTCATTTCAGTTGTTTCTTTGATGTATAAATTTGGAAAGAAGACATCGGAAAAAGGGAGATCAGAAGTTAATGAATTTATGGTTCATTCTTACCCAAAGATAATACTTTCTTGTGGTTGTTGTGCTTGTACTGGTTGGGACCTATCACACACCCTTCCCAATGGTTCTTCAACCTCCGTTTTCTCTCATTCTTCTCCATTTTCATTGATAAACGTATTGAAGGAGGCTTGAGGCCAGTTTCAAGAGCCCCATCATTCATCGAAACCATGGCAAGCCAATATTCATCAATCTCCATATTTGGTGATTCGAATACAACTTCCAATGGCATTTCAGCTCTGCTCAAAACCACATATTTCCCCAGTTTCTTCTTTCTCCGGAGCTCGAAAACTACAGTCTGTTGCTTCAGGTACTTGACCGATTCTTCAGATACTTGACCGATTCTTCAGATGTTGAGCATTCCAAAGAGAATGACTCGTTCCAGATGATCATTCAGGATGACTTAGTGCAGACTTGCTTGGTGTTCAGTTGAATCCTCTTGTTGTTTCCTGCAGGAAGATAGTATCTGATAAAAAGGTTACCGTGGGACTTCAGCTCTATGTTTTTACCTTCCAAGATTCTCACTTCACAACAAAGAGACGAAACGTGATGATCTGATACTCCCATTGAAGACAAGGGGAAATTCCTAATATTTGATTGCAGAAAGGGAGAGCATGTGTTTTATTTTGGGGTTTTTGTTGTATTCATGTGGGGCTGAAAGGTCGAATATTTATAGGAGCAAAGATAAGTGGAATGGTGATTGATATTATCCACACAAGATCAGCTCAAATATACTGAATGGTAATTCACGATTAGTGGAAGAAAGTGAATCAGCCACCAAAATGTATTAGTATTGGTTTATAGTTTTAAGTGTTTCTTTATGTGGGATTCGAAAGATCGGCAGAGATTGTGTGTGATACATATACATTTAGAATAGACGAAAAGCCTCGTACTAATTAATCATGAATGGCTGCATAATCTTAATCTCGCACTTGCAAAAGTTTAAAAGTACTGTTCCACTAGTAAGATTATAATCTAAAACCTGGATCTGAGTTCTAGAAAAGCAGCTTCTTTTTCATTTTATTTATTGTATCTACTTTTTTTTAACCATTGGAACATGCCATGAGGGGATTGGCAACCTTCACTTGAATCAAACCACCATTGCCTATAAAAGTAGAGAATTTGCCAGCAATTATATTAATAGAACCAATTTATAAAATTATATTAAATTTTAGGATTGTAAAACTATAAAACTTTTAGGAGATATAAACTTAAATCATCAATACAAAATATTTAAATTTATATTAAAATTTAAAATTTTTAGAAAGCACGACCATATCCCAATATCCTCTCGATCCATCTCTATTAGTTTCTTTCGACACTCCTTATCAAGATGATAAAGTACTTGTGTGGAGAATCTTAATCTGGATGTTGGTCAATATGTTATTCAACTTTTTAAATGTTGCATTTAGGCAACTAATATATTTTATGCCGTTAGGTATTCAATTTTTATTTTTTTGTTACAATTAGGTACCCGGGCTTTTCTTTCTTTCTTTTTTCCGAGTAATTAGCTACTTAATATTTTTTAAATTACAAATGTTCAAGTATGATTGATTTATACTTGTAGTTTTAACCTCATTTAATTATAGCACGAACCAACTTAACTCAGTGGTTAAAGAAATCGTTGTTATTCTTAGAGGTCACGAGTTTGAGTACCAGCGATTGTAGTAGGGTGATTTAATGTTCATTGTCAAATAATTCAGAGTATTTATAACAGTTACTCAGGGTCAGCCCTGGGCCAGGGCAGGAGGGGCGCCCACCGAGGGCCTTTAATATTCAGTTGGCTCAGCATATATGTTTTTGGCCCAAAAAATTTCAATCGATGCTAATTTTCTCACAAAATTATATACATCAACCCATTTAATTAGCATATAGACTGCATATATATTTTATTTCATTTAAAATGATCATATGATTTTGTTCAAGCATATAATCTGATAAATTTATTTGTAATACCCATGTGATCTAATGGAAAAGCATTTGGCAACAAATCACCATGAAAAAGAAAAGGTATAATGTCAAATAATTCTCTAACGTTCGATTAAATAATCATTTTAATCCTTTTTTTAATCATTTTAATTCAAAGTTTTTATTTTAAAATAAAAAAACCTCTGAGATTTAACTAAATAGTCACTTGATTTTTTTTAATATTTTGGTACCTACCGTTTTATTTTAGAAAAAAAATTATATTTTAGAACGTTGATAATTTGTTGACTAACGATTTTCATCCATGGAGGGATTTTTTATTCCAAAATAAACTATTGGATTAAGAAATGCTTAAACATGATGTTTAATTTAAGAAATGATTTTCCACAAGACAATATTTTTACACTAAAATCAATGATTTTGCATTAGGAAATGCTAGAAGTAGTGTTTTTATGAGTATTTGTATACTTAAATATATTTTTGACGTTGTATTAAATTATTGTTTGTTTAATTTAATAAAAAATCTAATATAAATTTTATATTACATATTTTATTTTATTTTTGAATTAGGGGCTCATTTTTTATTTCAACTCGACCCAAAAAAATATTCAAGACTGGCCCTACGGGTTCACATATGTCACAAGAAAGATTGAATGAGCTAGCTATGTTATGTAATGAAAAAAAAATGTTGAAAAATATTGATGTTGACGCTATGATTTTGTATCAAAAAATGCTCGAAGACAATGTTTACTATAATTTTTTGTGTGCTTTAATATTTTTTTGACATTTTTGAGATGATAATTAATTACTATTTATTTATTTTAATAAAAAATTAATATCAATTTTATACTATATATTTTTTATAATTTTTTAAAATTAGGGGCCCATTTCTTTTATTTCGCCCCGGGCCAAAACAATACTCAAGATCGGCCCTGCAGATAATACTTTGTAATCACTTTAGTTTAGTCAAAAAAAATAAATGATAAAATTCTAAATTTAGACACATTTTTTTTAAAAAAAGAAGGTATAATATTGCACATAAATGTCAAAGTTAAGTACTTAATTACTCCAAAATAATTTTAATAGCATAATACACTTAAATATGAAAATTAGACACCAAAACTTATACTTATTCTTTTATAAATTATAGTGTGACTTAATTTTACCAATTTAGAGTGATCATGGCCCCTGCCATCCCCCTCTAGAATTGCCAATATGTGTGTCTATGTTAGAACGTTAGATATGGACTAACGTACAACTTATAATAACAACAATAGGGTGTTATTGTTTACTATCATAAAAGAAGGATAGCCCAAGTTAAGAATAATCTAATTTGGTTAAAGTAAATTATAATTTAGTTTTTAAATGGAATATCTTTTAAATATGTAAGATAATTAAATATTTAGCTTATAAATAATGATAGATGCGTTAGAAAGTAATGTTAATGTAGAAAAAATAAGAAAATTTTGAGATTATTTTATAATTTTTAAAAGATAAATATTATCATAATGTCGTTAAATATTTAACAATAAAATGACTAAAATAAGAATAAATTAAAATATAATAAGAAAATGACTTTTTAAACCATAGTAATCACAATAGGAATAAAAAAATTGAGCGGTGAGTTTTGGAATTTACCCAGAAACTAAATTATAAAATTAGAATATTTAACTAGAAAGTAATGGTATAACCAAATGATCTCAGTGATAAAAAAATTATTGTTATTCCTTAAAGATCCATATTTAAATACCATAAATATAAAAAATATCAGTGTTCAATATCAATATTTAAAACTCATATTAAAAATAAACACTAGAAATCAATGAACAGTAAATATAGAGACCCTTTGAATAAGTGGACCGCTGTTAATATAAAATCCAATGAACAGTTTGATGTTTTAGCCTGTTATGTATGACCAGTCAGTTCTTAATTTAATATTTTTAATTTATTAAATGATTTTAGTAGTTAAAGATAATGTTATTTTTATAAAGTTTTAATTCGAACGGTTATGTTTGACTATCTGTAGAATGTGTATTGATAATAATTAAAAAAAATAAAAATAGATATTACCTTATAACCTCTTTAAACTTTTTAAAAAATAATAATAATAGAATAATATTATTATGAGAGCTTATGTTATTATCCTATATCCTTAGCCTAAAAGACTTGGACTTAAAATCGAAATGGTATATCATCATCTTTCACCTTTAGTGACATTATTCAGTCTTCTCGCTTGATATGTTTAATTAATATACTCATTCGAAAAGAATAAAGATAAATCAATCGTTCGAGTTATTTAAAATATTCTTAATCAAAATCACAATAAAAAAAGTAAGAAAGCATTTAATTATTTTTTTTATAAATAACTGGAAGGGATAAATCTCACTGTTGAACACTGTCATTCGTAAAAATGTATAGAGAGGAGGTTCTGATTTTAAATCAAATCTAAATTTAAAAAAAAAAACATGTTCCTATAAAAACAGATCTATTAAGTCTTCACCATAAATTGTTAGTCCTGTAATTTGTAAGGTGGATAACTTTTTCCAGTAACTAAAACAAAAGTTTATTGACATTGGATGACTATCCATGTAATTTACGCTAACCTAAATTACGATTGTGATCATGTTAGTTGTTTATCGTCTTATTACATTAATATATATGATTTGTTTTTCTAATCAAATAAAATCAAAAAAGAATATAATTTTGATCTTTTAACTAACCGAGTCAGAATATATATAAAAATATATTGATAATGCAATATTTATAAAACAGCACTATTTATATATCAAATTAAATCAAATTTCATTAGTGATATTTTATCTTTTAAATCTATAAAAGTAATTATTTATGGGAACCCGAATAACCTAAAATAACACCGACGAGCAGGGTAAAACCGCGTTAAGACTAAACTGTGTACCTTTCTTTCTTGGCTTTGGCACCATGTGAGTGGCTGGCCCCATCTTCTCCATTAAAGTCTTCACTCCATTGGTTTCATACAAGTAATCAATGCACGTGTTATATAACACAATACGTTCTTTCCATCCATCCCACTCCTCTTTAGTTTCATACAATGGCTCCACCAATGTACTTGTGTTCTTTTAAGCTACTTGTGTTTCATCTTGTTTTGTTTTTTTGTTGATTTCTATGTTTCTTTGTGCCTCCATTGAATGCCATGAGATTCTGACCAACCGGTCTGGTCTTAAACAAAGTTTGCTAGAGGTTGAAGAAGCCATGGATGTTGGTAAAATAGACTGCAAAACTACACCGTTAGCACTGACTGAAAATATAAACAGTAATTAAAATGAACAAATTCGTAAACCGTGTCGTGGTATAACCACTGCCTTAGAAACGAATTCGCCCCGATATGTGTAATCGATGCAGTAGGCGGACCGTCCCCCGAGGTTAACACGGTTGCTCCGAATTCCGTACACCCAAAATCGGAGTGGACTGCCGGTGGTATTGCTCTTCTTATCGGAAAGCACATAGAGAGAATATTTAGAAAACACTTGGAGAGTGAATTCTGAATGTTGAGAGTGAGTTGAGAAGCTGAATATAGCCCTCTATTTATAGGCTAGAAATAGGGTTAAAATCGTCTATAAAATTTCAGGATTAAATTGCTTCTTTTGTAACAGCTGAAACGT